AGTAAATGCTAATGCGCGACACCTGCGCCACTCACCGGTCTCGAGTCCCACGGAGGAGCTCCAGAAGGATAAAAGGAGGAGTGACGGCAGTGTTGGACGAGAGAGGACCAGGCCTGGACTTTATTTGGTGTTTTGTGTGCACGAGGTGCTGGCGCTTTACTTTCATTTTGTGTTGTTTTTTTTTATTAAAGTGTTTAAATGTTCGCCGGTTCCCACCTCCTTCTTCCCGAACTACGAACTTTGTTACAGCCACATTTGTGGAGAATTTGTGATATTGTTGTCATATGCACATAATGACAACTCTTTGTCATTAATTCCTGCAACTGCTTCAGAGTTGCTGTAGGCCTCTTGGTCACCTCTCTGACCAGTTTCCTCCGGCTCTTTCATCCAGTTTGGAGTGACGTCCTGATCCAGGGAGGGTCTGTGTTGTACCAAATACCTTCCACTTCTTAATGATAGACTTCACTGTGCTTCTAGGCATTGATAAAGCCTTTGAATTTTTTTTGTATCCATCTCCTGACTTGTGCCTGTCCAATACTTTATCCCAGAGATCTTTTGAGAGTGCCTTGCCACCCATAGTTGATTGTTTGCTTCAGTTGCACTACCAAGGGCTGAAATGCTCCAGGAAAGCTCTTTTCATGCTGAGCTAATCAAAGTGATCACAGCTGAATGTCAAATAGCTTTGTGTGCTATTGAGAAGGTCATTGGCTACACTTGATTGTGTTTACAAGTCATTTTTAGGAGGGAGGTGATCCTTTTTCCAACTCAGTGATTCTGTTTTTTTATTATAATTTTTTTTCTGACATGTTGGTGTTATATCTTTCACTTGGATGTTATAAGTTGCACTGAGTAAATAACAGCTGTATAAAACAAAAACTGTGTCCGTCTTCATTTCAGGCTGCAAAGCAACCAAATGTGATTATTTTAAAGGGTGGTGATTCAATACCCACTGTATCTTGATATTTTTCAGCTTTTTGGTTATATTTTCTATACATTTTTGTTTATATATTTGCTCCGAAATGGGCTAGGGGATCACATTTTTGCATTTAAAAGTTTAAAAACATGAGATGCAAAGAAAGTGGAATGGAAAAGTTTAGAGACTTGTTTTTTACTTTTAACTTGACCACCCCGTTTTTAGACTGCTGTCACTTTTTTCCCCCCAGTTATAAACAATTTCAACATCCATTGTAGCCTCTTAGATTTAAAATGATTAATGCAAAGAAATAAAGTACAGGATTTTTTTTTTACCCTACATAAACCCAAGGAAGAATAATATTTCATCATTATAATAATTTATCTGAACCATTACTTTTACAACCAGTATATTTTTTTAAACAGCCATTGTTAAACTACCCTATGCCACAGAGAATTCTGTGCAAACAAATAGCTGAATCAAACTTTTGAATCAACTAATTCACTCAAATTAATTGAACTTACAAACTCTAATGAAGTTTAGACTTTAGTAATGGTACTAAATCAGATCAAATGTTTCTGTTTAAACACTCTCATTCTCGAGTTTGACACGGTCTTTAGGAAACAATAGGCAAATTAAAATCACATTAAATTATGATGATTCACAATGCTGCTTATTTTTATATTGCCTGCAACATAATCTTGTTATTTTTACATAATCTTATTATTATGTTATGGCTGTTTCTTATAGACAAGCATTGGACTGAAACCGATCTTAAGAAAACTTCTGTCACTGTTAAATGTTTTACTTTTGTACAAAACCTACAAAAATCATTAGCCCAAAATTCTAAAATGTTTCACTACACCGCTGACATCACTTTGAAAACATGTAACATTCAAAGCATCCTTTGAACTGCTTAATAGGTCATTCAGGAACTTATTATTCCCCATGTTTTATTTATTCCCTGAACGAAGGAATACATGAGTAGAATCCATGTTTGTTGATCTGAGACTGTAGTTAGTTGATCACTGAGACAAAGTGATATTCTGTTGTTACGTGCCATGACAAGCAAGCTTTTTATTAGAATTTTTTTTCTGACATGTTGGTGTTATATCTTTCACTTGGATGTTATAAGTTGCACTGAGTAAATAACAGCTGGATAAAACAAAAACTGTGTCCGTCTTCATTTCAGGCTGCAAAGCAACCAAATGTGATTATTTTAAAGGGTGGTGATTCAATACCCACTGTATCTTGATATTTTTCAGCTTTTTGGTTATATTTTCTATACATTTTTGTTTATATATTTGCTCCGAAATGGGCTAGGGGATCACATTTTTGCATTTAAAAGTTTAAAAACATGAGATGCAAAGAAAGTGGAATGGAAAAGTTTAGAGACTTGTTTTTTACTTTTAACTTGACCACCCCGTTTTTAGACTGCTGTCACTTTTTTCCCCCCAGTTATAAACAATTTCAACATCCATTGTAGCCTCTTAGATTTAAAATGATTAATGCAAAGAAATAAAGTACAGGATTTTTTTTTTACCCTACATAAACCCAAGGAAGAATAATATTTCATCATTATAATAATTTATCTGAACCATTACTTTTACAACCAGTATATTTTTTTAAACAGCCATTGTTAAACTACCCTATGCCACAGAGAATTCTGTGCAAACAAATAGCTGAATCAAACTTTTGAATCAACTAATTCACTCAAATTAATTGAACTTACAAACTCTAATGAAGTTTAGACTTTAGTAATGGTACTAAATCAGATCAAATGTTTCTGTTTAAACACTCTCATTCTCGAGTTTGACACGGTCTTTAGGAAACAATAGGCAAATTAAAATCACATTAAATTATGATGATTCACAATGCTGCTTATTTTTATATTGCCTGCAACATAATCTTGTTATTTTTACATAATCTTATTATTATGTTATGGCTGTTTCTTATAGACAAGCATTGGACTGAAACCGATCTTAAGAAAACTTCTGTCACTGTTAAATGTTTTACTTTTGTACAAAACCTACAAAAATCATTAGCCCAAAATTCTAAAATGTTTCACTACACCGCTGACATCACTTTGAAAACATGTAACATTCAAAGCATCCTTTGAACTGCTTAATAGGTCATTCAGGAACTTATTATTCCCCATGTTTTATTTATTCCCTGAACGAAGGAATACATGAGTAGAATCCATGTTTGTTGATCTGAGACTGTAGAATACAAAGTGATATTCTGTTGTTACGTGCCATGACAAGCAAGCAGCATTGCTTACGATATCTAGGTCTGGAACAAGACATGAGGAACGATTCAGAATGACTGAATTCGGATGTCAAGACTGTGCCTGTATGAAGTGTAGCATATATTGCAACCTATCTTCATTTTTTATGCCTTATTTGCTTATTTAAAAATGATACTCCTGTCCTCCACTTGTCAGTATCCTGAATTCCCATGAGATGAAGCTACACTGTCCCTCTTGTCAGATCAGCAGGTTAATCTGATCATCTACTGTAGCTAAGTATCGTAGCATCTTATAAACCAGCAGACAATGCAGTGTCTTTGGTGCTCCCCTACTGCTTTGAGACGTCCACTGCGCTTGGCGTCGTTTTTCCCCATCAAACACTTCATGCGCTCTTTTTGCATGTATATCAAGAACATTCATCACGCTGATACTGTGCTTAACAAGTTTTCGTATCAGCTTGTGATTCTGAAATCATCTGG